CATTATTGTTAAGCTAGGACTTTTACATCCAGTACTAGTATCATGTTTTACCTTTGTTGATGTCCATTTAGGTTTTAGTTTCTAGTTTTTAGTGTCTGACTCTAAGGCAACACTAAATAAAATGGAAAGTAAAATTTCAGTAATGTGTTTTCTTAATTTAACTTTGTTTTTTATTAATCAGAAATTTTCCCTGACCATCTATGAATAAATATAAAAAATAGAATTTTCATCTAGCCGGCATTTCTCTATTTAATATAAAGCATGTTAAGGCCTGCCACGCCCATGATCTCCTAATCGCCTGTTCTTGTAACCCTGTCAGTGAAGGAAATTGTTAGAACAACCCATGTTGTCTTCTAGCAATAATTACTTTTTCAAGTTTGTAAGCTATACTTTCTATCTCTTGCATATAATATGCTGTTTAAGTCAGGAATTATATTAGTTTTTAACCCATGGCTGTATTTCTCAGTTATGCTAATTATTGTTGTGGGCCTGGGAGTCTGCCATGTCCCTTAATAGATCTTTTCCACTGAATTGTGCTGGATCTTTCTTATGTCATATCTGGTTACTAATAGTCTTGGTCCTTAAGTAGAGTACACTTTGTGGTTTATCTGAATTGTATTTGATTTCTGATTTATATGTCATTAATCTTCTACTAGGTTTTCAGTTTTCCCAATACCCAGCAAATTAACAGTGTGTTGTCCTTTGTTGATCCATTAGTTCACCAGAGAGTTGGCTGACTTTGTATTATAGGTGTGTTCTTAGAAAAGTACCTACCTTGCAACTCAGGAGCAATTTTTCCATATGAAATAATGGTAAAGAGGAAGAAGTCATCAAGTTTTTTCTGTAAAGGGCCAGATAATCAGTATTTTAGGTTTTGCTGGCCATAGCGTCTCTTCGACCTATCCAACTCAGTAATCATAGTGAGAAAGCAGTTACAGACAGTAACTAACTGGGTGTGGCTGTGTTCCAATAAAACTAGAAAAGCATATGGAGGGGCTGGATTTGGTTTCCAGGCCAGTATTATGCCCACCTCTAGTAGAGAGGATTATTGAAGGAATGCAGTTATCAATCAGACATAATCTATATTAGGCTAACTTTATATTCATATAAAAAATCTTATATTTTATAATTTGTTTTGCTCACAGTAGTAAAACATGCTTCTTATAAAAGTTTCATTATTTATATTCTTATAACATAGAAATTGAAGAGGCACCATAACCAATCCCCTGATAGAGATCAGTATTATTAACAAACTCTACACATTTAAAAAACTCCACACATTGTATGCACGTATATGATGAACAGGCAGAGTATGAGCAGAATTACAGAAGTGGAAGAAAGTGAAGGTGTGTAATGTTAGAGATCGTGCTGTGCTGTTTGGGGGTGATGAGTAGATAGCCTGAGAGATAGCCCTTGGACTTCTTTCCATTGCATTAAAATGACCTCTGTTGTAGAATGTGCCCTGGTTCCTGATTTCTGAGGGTAGATCTTTGTGTACAGCTAGGCCATAATGTAACAATAACTTTGTGGAGTAGATAGACACAAAGGAAACAAACAGCACAAACATTTTGCATGAGTTAGTAGAAACCTTATGAGTATAGAAGGGCAGCTATATATCTCTGGTTACTAACTGTCCTGTTTTTCTGCCTGGTAACACCTTCAATGGAGACTTGTGTCACTTGTGCCATTTGCTTTTCTTCGTATTTTTAGACAACAGTAGCCATCCCCCTGCCATGGCATCAAATACCCTAGGCACCTAGCTTCCGTGGCTAGAGCTATTCTTTTCAATACAGGAGCCATTACTTGGCCATGTGAGTTATTAAGCACTTGGAATATGACTAATCCGAATTAAGATGGGCAATAAATGTAAAATACACATTGGATTTTAAAGATTTAGTACAAAAAGAAGATGTAAAATATTTCAGTTTTTTTCTGTTGATCACATGGCGAAATGGAATTGTTTGGATACATTGGATTAAAAAATACATACAAAATTAATTTCATTAGTATTTCTTTTTAAATTTTTAAAAGTGACCACTAGAAAATTTAAAATTATCCATGTGGCTAGCATTCTATTTTTATTCGCACTGGTTTACAGACTAATGTATAAGATATCTGTATTTGAAGTATAATTTTCTTAAACAGTACTAGCTGTAGTTTAAATTATTAGAAGCATACCTCATTTGATAGATATCTCAATTATCCTGATTTGGTCATTATACATTGTATACCTGTATCAAAATATCACATGTACCCCCAAAATAGGTACAACTATTATATACCAATTATAAAAAGAAAAACAGTATACTTCATGTACATTATGAGCTAACTGTGTGTTGGCTGGGGAAGTTAAATCTTACAGATATGTTTGTTTCCATAGAAAAAGTTTAGAACTTTTATTTTTGAGACAGGGTCTCAAGTTTAGAACTTTTAAAAAGATTTCTAAGTGATACTGCAATTTTAGGCAGTAAAACTAAATAAGACCTTTAAGATTCATTCATGCATTCATTCATTCATTTTATCCTATACCCATTGATAACTACCTACTGGGTATGTGTGTTGCCTCTCTTCAGCTAATAAATTATTTATTCTGACATAGATTTCTTGATTATAAGCATCAGATTGTGTTCTCTTTTTCTCTTTGACATTCCTTTCTTCAGCTCTACTTTTCCTTTGAGACCTAACTCTTAACACTACTTCTCAAAAAAATGTTCCAGTATTTCTTTTTTAACCTCTTCTATGCCTTCCCTTCCTCTAAATTCTTAGGATATCTCCTCTGTCTTATAAATATAACCACTTTTTATTTTTAATGATATACATCCTTTATTTCCTGTACTAAAACATGCTTCAAAAGAATCTTTGTACTGAATTAGAGTCATATAACTTGGCATATGCATGTTATTTCTGTAGATATCATTTATGTTTAAGGTATGATTAGTTTCTCTTTATTTTCACAGAAAATCATTTTTTTGTTATTCTATAGACATACACAGATGAAACTATCTAAATGGAATTGCCCTAAATCATCTTTGGAGATCACACTACTTACAAAAGGGATAACCTTACAGATAACGCTAACCAGGAAATAAATATACAATTTAAGTACTTCTAGAATGATTGGAGAAAGAAAGAAGGGGATTTCAGAAAGGAGAAAAAGATGAAGAACAATGACTTAATTATATTGATTACATATAATTATTGGAAAGTAGACCAAATTATAAAGGAGGGAAAAAATTTAACTATCTTACCACTTAGAGGCAGCCATTATTAACCTTCTTGCATATGTCTAACATTTTATATTTAAAAAATATTTTATTGCAAAATGATACATGAGTGATGCTTACTATAAAAATTCAAACAATATAGAAATATTTAGAATCTCAAAGAAAGTTTTTCTTTTCCTTTCTTCTCAGTCCCCTCCCTTTGGAGAAAGTATGTATTTATATACCTACATAGTAGGTATATGTACATTTTTGCAATTATTTTAATGTATGTGGGATTGTGTATTTAGCGACTTGGGTTTTTTCTACTCAATATGCCTGTGAAATCTTTCTATATTATAGGTCTCTTGCATTTTAAAAGGGACTGGATGGAGGTTGGGCGCGGTGGCTCACGCCTATAATGTTAGCACTCTGGAAGGCC